GTATGGCAGGTCCCTCGCGCTTCTCAGACCACCTGGAAAATATCAGAAGTGTGCTTGAAGCTCATATCCTGCTACTTCGATGAGAGCACTACTCATGCCGCGATACGAACGAGCTCTAGATGGCCAGCCGCGATGAAAGCGCATGCAGGCGGGAGATGCCCATCACAGCTATGCACGCTGCGAGTATACAAGCAAGATCATCACTGTCCCTCGTTGTTCTGCCTAAGTCACATATCTGCCTGTCTTGAAGATACAATGAGCTGCTTTGCCATTGTCTCAAGTCGACTCCACGCAATAGCTGGTAACTTTCTCGTCACCAGGACGACGTTGGGTTCACTCGACGTCGGTGGTATACACACGATGTGGATGGTGTACCTGCTGATATGGCTACACATAACGTCATGCGAAGACCTATTTGGTGAATCTTTGGCTTTCTCCTTGTTCTATAAACAATCTCATTCTCCCCATCTATATCATATCCATATCTCTTCAGTCCGCAACCGTTGCTTCGAAAATATCTCAACATTACACAATACTTTCTGAACTCCTAGATTACACGAACACACCAGTGCCAGGCACGATCGACCGCAACGATCAACATGCGCTACAACGACCCCATCGAGTGCAACTGCGCGTACACGGCGAAGGATGTCGAAGACTTCAAGTCTCGTATCAGCCACCTGGAGTGCATGGCTGGGCTGAAAGCTGCACCCCTCAAATCACTGGTCTTCCCGGGCTTCCAAGAAGCAAAGTTGAAGCCACGCCAGTCGTCGAAGATCCAGATTCACAGCGTTCACGAGGTCTTCAAGACACCCGAGCTGCTCGAGGTGATCCTGCTGAATCTTCCAACCTTCAATCTCTTGAAGTGTGAGCAGGTGAGTAAGGGGTTCCAAGCGACCATGGTGGGCTCGACCGCCATCCAGAAGGCTTTGTTCATGACACCACCCAGCAAGTCTGTAACTCCCACCGACACGGATCAGTTTCCACGCATCAACGATCTCCTCGAGGGTCGTGGACACTGGAGTCGATGTCTTTACAGGGTCCGAGACCTTGAGTTCGAGATATCCTATGGCGGTGCGACGGTTTCCACGGGCCAGTTGAAGCCGATGCTGGGCCTCGAGGTATGTCAGTACTCGAGGTCTGGACGCCGTGAGGATGAAGTGGACCCGACGATAGGTTCATGGAAGAAGATGTACCTCACGCAGCCGCCGTGTGATATCAGCGTTCACACAAGTGGGATAACAAGGGGCGGCATGTCAAAGCTATGACGTTCGGAGACTTGTTGAGGATGCTGGCGGACGAGCATCATGCTTAGCTTGACGTGGAGGATGATTGATAGCGTGAGAGCGGGCGTGGTACGTCAGCGGACGAGTACGGTTGCGTTAATCTATGAGCTTCGAGCATGAAGACAGTATCCTGCAGGCGATCTGGCGCCATCGAACTGTTGTTCGCGCCTGTGGTGGCTTGAAGAGATCCCCCAAAAGAGAGTCGTGGGCTATAGGAGAGAGTTAGGCGTTATTGGGTTCCAGTGGCTAGACTGCGTAGGCTGAGGTAGACCCCAGGACAAAGGAGCAGCCACAACAGAAGCGTATTGAACCAGACCTCGCGAACCCATACCGAGAGCTGCCTGTCGCGCAGAGCAGTGGTAGACCATTCTCTGTCCAGCATCAGCGTGGAGTGAACTGGAGCCGTGGTTTCCGTTACCGTGAAGTCCGCTGACGTCTATACGGTGGCGGCACCATTCTCGTCGGCACTCAAGCTAGTCTTGACGATATACGCTTCCGATGGTCCCATATCCCGCAAGACGAGTGGCCAGTATGATGATACCAGAGGCTCAGTTAGCGTAGATGATAGGCTACTCAAGTGCGTGGTTGGCAGACATGGCCGGACCAAGCACCAGGGCGTCCTCGTGCCTAACCCATCCTCTCCCGACACCTCCCACACCACCTCTCCAACGCCTCCGCCGTCTTCACGTCAAACTCGCACCTATCCTTCACCCTCTGACATAGCTCTACCACTCCAGCATAGTCCTTGTCGTAGTACAGCTCGCCGACCGCATATCCGAGTAGCTGGCTGTCTCTCTTGCCGAGTTTGACCTTTGAGTGGCCATTGGTGACACTTTCTGATACCTCGTCCGGGTTCGTCAATACGGGTACTGCTGCGATGAAGTCTTGATAGGTCGTGCCCCCGTCGATCTTGGCCGTGTAGCTAGATTTTACGGCCTGGAAAGCGGCTTCGCTTTGATGAGTTCTGGAGACTGCTGGAGTGTCTGCGGCTGCGGCTTCTCCGTAGTTGTCCGCGTCTACCTCAATGGCGAAGACGTCGTTGTCTTCATCGGCCATGTCGACTTAGGTCCGGTCGTCAGTCTGCCTTGGGTGACGAGTGATTGGGGTGAGGTGCAATCGGGAGGGAAAATTAGTCTAGACGCAATGGTGGAGCACACGCCTTTATCACGGACATGGACGTGGGCACAGAATTATAGCCTAGAGCAATTGTTGATACACGACTATCGCTACTTTCCAACGCCACGGATCTGCTCGTAGCTAAGCAGCTCCAAAAGAGGAGTATCGATCGCAGGAACATCCACCCGTCTCACTCTCCCAAGCTCGTTGCCTGAACATTCCTATGCTACCATACCTCAAACGAGCTGTTTAGTCGAATGGGTTGGTGCGGGTGCCCCACCAGGTCATGAACATGGAGAGACCGACAGTCTCGAAGATGCGGGCCAAGGCGCCGACAGCGACGGTGTCGAGCGGGCGCTTCTCAGTGGCGATCTGGGCGACGAACTGTGCACAACATTAGCCAGAAATTCAAGTGTTGTGAGAATAGTATTTACGCACCGATGGAGCAGAGCTGGCGAAGAAGATCAAGCTACCGAGGTATGCAGCGCCCTTGTAGCTGAGCGTGCCGGTGGCGTTGATGAGCGCACCCACACCGTACGCCTGGATGGCGGAGCCGACGAGGGATGTGCCCCATGCGGTGGCAGCGGAGGCAGCCTCCTTCGACTTGAAGAACTCTTCCTTGGAGTTGGCGGCCTGGGCCTGACGGTAGGTCTCGCCGAAGAGCGGGCCGAGGATGGCGAGGGATGCCGCGTGGTTGAAGACGGTGCCGAGCGCAATGGCGGATGGCTTGACCGGGGGGAGGTCTGATGGACGCAATGGTTAGTGATGTTTCCGTGATGGATTGGAGGGTGCTTTGATGGGTTTTCACCGCTTGCGGCGTGTTTGGGCGAGGTAAACAAGCTCGTCGCAATCGTGCGGCGGCGGTATGTGGAGATGACTTACAGTGAAGGGAGGCCATTGTGGTTGTGTTGTGTGAGGTTGTGGTTGGTTGGTAGAAGTGTTGATGGGTTTGTGGTGTGTGTAGGTGATGGAAGGAGAAGATGTATGCAGGAGAAGAGAGGTTGAGGTGATGGTACCATACGTCACACTTGGCTTAGCGCCACTGCACGGGCCTGCCGAGCTCAATGACCAAGGTCGAGGGCAATCGAAAGAGCGCCACACACATGGTCAACAATGATCGCGTGCCTGCATGTGATCAAACAACTTACATCTGACTTCGGGTTCTATATATTATCACGACGGCATTCCTCCATCTCGTTCCTTATCAACTTCCTGCTTATCCGCCGTCCACCCTTCATCGTCTTTACTGTATACCACTTCATGCACTTTCAGTCTACCTTCGATGATCTCCCTCCCATTGACGAGATCGTTTTCATCGGCCCTCTTCCGACCTTCTTCCTCGTTAGCAGCAATGCCACTCAGAACATGCCTCTTCATTAACCGCTTCCTCGCAACATCCTCATCTACCTCCACAAACCACAGCTCGTCCATCATCTCGGCTGCCTCCTTCCACTCGGGTGCTCCGCTTCCCAAAGAAAGATAGTTTCCTTCCATCACAATGATCCGTGAGCTTTTAGCAATGGGGATATCGTTGGCAACAGGATCCTTGACGGAGTGGTCGAAGCTGGGAGCGTGTATCGTGCCAGTCTCCGGGCAGATTGGCTGGCGCAGCTTCTTCACAAGTTCTAGAAAAGCAGGCGCATCGAACGTGAACGCAGCTCCGCGTCTCGCATGTGCGGTATGCGGGTCAGGCATTGCAGAGAGCTGAGCCCGGCTGAGATGATAGCCGTCCATTGGTAAGAAAGTAGCGATTTTCGTGGAGGACTGTAAACCGGGATAGGCTTCGGCATATTTCTCGTTCAGTTTCGTGGCCACTGTAGCTGCCAGTGTCGTCTTGCCTGAGTTTCTTGTGAGCACGCGACTCTCTTCTCAATACGTGAGCCGAGCTTACCTGATCCTGGTATGCCACTGACAGCAATCATCAACCGCTTCGACTGTGGTGCTTCTTGGAACTTGTCCCATGTCTTCTGGGTTAGTCTCTCTACCTGTTCTTCCATTTTGCAGCTTTGAAAACGAGGAGAAGTTGTGGAAGATCAGTGGCAGGCATTGTTCAATTATCGACGATGTCGAAGGAGCTAGGGACACTGAGTCGCGCTGTGCTTTTGGGTCCTTATCGACCCCACTACAGGGTGATTTGAGGAAGCTGTGACGTCGCACAAGAAGGATCGAACCAATCTACACGTATACATGCTTGTTGACAATGTGGTAAGTATCGTCGTGTCTGCCGTTTGCTGGCGTTACTTCTTATAGTTCTATTAACACATTTCAACGTCAACGGCCGAATGTCATACTAAAGTCCGGTGACCTGCCCCCAACCAGAAGAATTTCAGTGACATTTAAACATACATGGCTAGCCCGAATATATCATACATCCACTACCCACATTAGCAGACAAGCCATAGGCCCATAGCCTTTCGATCAACAAGTTCTACAGTCGCCCTGCTGCCAAAACCATACCATCCCGTCTTTCCCTTCGATCCTAGGGAGGAATAACGGAGGAATAACGGCAAAAAAATAACCACAGACAACCTGTGGCAAGATCAGGATAGTGATGAGAGTGGGACTGAATTTCACGTTAATGGGGACTCTAATCAACGTTGATGAACGGTTGAACATACTTCGAACCCACGCCCCGGAGGACCAGCGTGCAATGATTGAACACCTTAAGCTGGCGCCTTAGACCGCTCGGCCATCTCACCGGTTGATGTAAGCAGGATCTCAGGATACGTATAGATTGTGGAAGGTTTATCTGCCGAAGTTTAGCCGTCGAAGCTCGAAGCTCGAAGCTTTATTAGAATTCCGTCGCTTTGCTTCTGTCCTGCCTCAGACTCTTTGACAACACCTCGATCGAGATCAACTCTATACTTGGACTACTTGCTCAAGGTAACCAAAATTGACTTCACCGTGATGTCCACAGACTATACCAATCCTTCCGTACCATCGTGCCTTACGACTGAGCTGTATACCGGCACGATACCACAACAGCGGCTCGACTTCTACCCCGACTTATACTATCCCATCTTTGCGTACCACATTAGCCGGGGGTAGGCAACTGCCTTGTGGTACACCCCGAAGGATCTATGCCTTGTTGGTGGCGTGGCTGTGCCGCTTGATCGGACCTCACTTCCAACCTTGGGCTATACCCTCAGAGGACCTTCGATATCTGGTCTTGGTAGATCAAGTTCGGTCGTCATGAGGCTATCTACAGTCGCCACATATCTGTACACAAGTTCTGCTGTAGCGGATATTTTGGGAAAACGGTCGTCATCATCAGCAGCCAGAGCCTTGTCCCCAGCAGGAGATGTCTTTGCAGAGCATGCACGCCATGCCAAAAGGGAAGTTCAAGAGCCCTTAATCAAGCCTCATGACTTTGGCACAGCATCGCATCATGGAATCGCTAGACTCCAAATCGAAAGCGAACTGTTTTGGGACTTCAGACCTTTTGTGAGTGCACCAACAAGCACAATCTCTACAATCTCAGGAAACCTGAGGACCTTGGCTCACGGCCTCTCGTTACGTGCTCTAGTTTTGGACAGACATCGCCCTCGGCACACCCAACCAGGCCTTCCGCATGATCCTCGACCTCAACTATGGCGGTGCAGTGGTTCGATCATTGTCTTGCAAAGCATTCTGGTGCGGCGATGGATTGACTTACTCTCATGAAGCGTCTTCAACCTGGCATGATGAGCACGAGAGTTTTTCGCTGCATCTCCCACCCCGGTATATCTACGGAAATATTTCTAGTGACAACATGCATCTCGTATCGCTGAACATCACGAACGTGACATTCGGAGAGGTAAACGAACTGGGTCATCGCGACAACTACCTTCTGTGGGTCGAGGCTTACTCCGCCGATGGGTATGTACGGCGTCTTCATTGCTAAGCATCGTTAACATTGTCAGTGCGATTGGTCTCGGGCGATCAAATGCTTCCGTACCTGTATACACTGATACCAAAGTGCCGACCATCCTGTCGAGTATCGTGTCGCAAGGCGTGCTCGATAAAACCATTATGACCCTTGACCTACCTCGCAATACGCATAAGATAGGCTCTATATACCTTGGAATGATCCCAGATGAGGTCTCCAAGTCAGACCAGATCCGGGTTCCATTCTCTCACAGTACTAGCGACGCTCTCGTCAACACCTGGCAGGTCCGGCTGGACAATCTCTCCGTCAAGGGCTCGGGGACCACCAGCACTGAGATCTCGGACCTTTACGCCACCTTGACAGCCGACATGTGGACCAGCCTGCCAAAGCAAATCTACAATCAGACTCTTGAGGCGCTTGGAGCCACAAACGGACTATACAACTTCGGACAATTCGTCCTTCCGACATACGACTGTAGCCTCTGGGGCGCTATGCCTGATCTCATCTTCACCTTTGCTGGGACTGATATCGCGCTAACGGAGGAAGACTACTCGTGGAGAGGCTCCTTCCCGTCAGGGGCCGAGCATACGTGTGCTGTTTTCTTGCAGGAGAACGAGTTTGACTCGAAGGCTGTATCTGTTGGTACGGAGCTTTTGAGGAAGTTCTACGTGGTGTTTGATATGGATAACGATGAGCTGAGGCGTGAGCATGCCAGATATGAGGATGACAGTCGAGAAGTTTGCTAATATTGTGAAGTGATCACCAGGAATAAGTCTTGAGCTACGCTCTGCATTTAGCATGGCATGCCGCTGGCGGATAGGAAGAAAATAGGCTTTGCCAGTTTTACTAGATACTGTACGAACAGAACACAGTTGAAATATGGCTCTGAGCTATAGTTTTGCCGTAGACGTGCAATCGGTATCACTCTGGCATTCAACTCAAAGCTGTATCTACAAATCCGTCGTTGATCCATTTCGTGTCGTTGATAAGATGTCGGATGTCACCGTTCTTCGACGCCATCTTCCGTCTTCCAGGGTGTATCGTTGAGATAATGTGCCATAGTCGGTACCTCTGTATTGCTCCTAATTACCACCATGAGTAGGAAGCATGAAGAAAATGATATACTGTTGTGAGGGTAACGCCATGGCGTATGAGGCTGGGGTCCACAGCAGAGCGTGACGGCGACGTGATGCAGAGATCGAGCGATGTGTTACACGAGACGAGTCCATCCGATCTCATGGCATACTTGTCAAGTCCTATCGTTATCGTCGACCGTAATATAATCTCACAAGCAAGTTGGTTGTTGAGGCATCAGCTCCGAACAGCGTACCAAGATTAGAAGGCTGAATCACCGCGTGCACGGACTCATCGCGTGCACGTTTTACGCGTTTATTACACCTACTTTGAAGCTATACCATTACATCAATATGGACTTAATTAAGGCCGCCTTAAGGGAGCTGAGGCTCGATACTACTAAGTCTATTACCTTAGTCGTACGAGTCTACAATATAGACTGTTCTACCTTGTCGCGACGTTTCTATAGAGTTACTAATTCGATCGAATAAGGCTATATAAACTAGCAACTCCTTACGCTATAATAAGAGACTAAACTCATAGCGTATATTAATAGGCTTACTATAAGAGGCCTACCTCTAACCGTTATAATAGTATATAATATAGCCTACGAGATAGGTAGTTAAGAGCCTAGAAGGTACTAGTCCTAGAGGTTTTATACGCGCTATAAGCAACACCTCTTAAGCAGTTATCTGTAGATAATCGATCGACAACGCCTTAAGGCCGACTATAAGGCTTCCTATAGGTAATATTACGACTTACTATAGTTAAAGATCGAACGCTATAAGATCTAGACTAAGAATACCTATAATATAGACGAAAAGGGCTTCTTAATTAGTATAGGTAAGAAGTTTAGACAAATATTTACTAAAGTAGCCTTTAATAATAGTAGCCTAGCTAGAGTCTATAGCGATAGTAATCGAGAGTAGATAACTATCCTTACTACTATCTATATAGACGGCTCTACGCTACTACCTACTATTATCTTTATAGGTTAGTCTAGTTAGCTTTAAGACGACTAGTTATAAGACTTAGAAGATAACGACGATATATTCTTTACCGCTTTACTAAATAGCTAGACGAGTAATAAGATAGTACTTTACTAGATAAAGTAGGTATTCGACCGTAGTACTAAGGCTAAAGTAGGCCGTAACTAGCGACTACTTATTATAGATAGATATAGTAGCTATATAACTATAGAACTACTAGATTAATACTATAACTATTGTATTATAGTTATAGTCTATCTACCTTACTTAACGTACTAGTTATAGCTATTAGATACCGGGTTATTCGCGCTACTAGCTACTTAATATAGCTAGTTACTCGAGCGGTTCGTCTAAGATAGCGGTAGTATTAGTAGCGTTATAAAGCGTAACTTCTACCGCTTATTTAGGCCTACGTTCTACAAGGCCTTTACGTTAAAGAATATCCTATCGTTCTTTATAAAGACTAGTATCTTACCGCTCGATCTAGCTATTGTTCTAGATAAGATAATATTAGTAAATAACTTACGGCTAGCGACTACGTCGTTAGATAACGCCCTAGCGGTAATTAAGTAACGGAAGAAGGTACGCTTCGTAAATAACGTTAAGTAGAAGTATATAGTATAGGAAAACACCCCTATTAAGCTTAATAAGATCGTCGATAAGCTCTATAGCCTTAATACTAAGAATTACCTACTTAAGTATAAGATTACTAGCTATAGACGAGCCTTATTTAAGGCTTAGAAGAAGAAGATATAGTTGAAGACTATAATTAAGGAATTAAGAGCTAAATTACGTTTAGTAGCTATTATCTTTAGTCTAGCTCGTATTTAGTTACTTTGAGACAAACACTACGCTAGAGAGGCTATAAAAGAGGCTAAGGTATTAGCTAAGTAGCTTATATATAATAAGAAGAAGGTATAGTTACTTACTAAGGTAGCGGATAAGGAAAAAAGACGTATCGAGCGTAAAGAATAGGCTTAGAGTCGGAAGGTTAGCTAAGCTATAGAAGCACTATAGAAAACGTACTAAAAAGATACAAATAGAGCGACTAAATAGCTCGATATTAAGCTTTAGCAATTAGCTAAGAAGCTAAAGAGGCCTTATAAGCAATATTTACCTAGTCTACTAATCACCTTGTCGATAGATCTAGCTAAATTAGCTAGTATAGTCAACACTAGCTCTAGCCGTTTAGGCCGAGCTATAAGGCCTAGTAGACGTCTATTTAGCTAATTTGTATATCGATAGATTCACTAAAGTCACCGCTATCACATACGCCTTAAATCACTCCTTTCCGATACGTATATAGCGAGATATTCGCTTTTGTATTCACTTAGTAGTCCGGACGGAAGCGTACACGAGCCGAGTCCGTGCACACGGTGATTCAGCCTTCTACGAGCTGGCCCTTGCTTCTTTCACCTGACACGCCAGATGACATCGTTGACTCTGGTTAGCCTTGCATTAACTTCCTAATCAGGCGAATTATATTGCGGCGGTCGCAATGGCTAGCAATCACTACAACTTCGCCTACGGCCGTCCCTACGATCCGAACGGTGCTGGTCCTTCAGATTACCAACACGCTGGTCCTTCACAGTGGACGCTGCCCGCGATACAACACCCCTTCATGCCTTCTGTACAGCAGCAACCCGAGCGTGACTCGCTGCCGCCTCCATTGACGGGTGACCCTTCCTTCGATATACTAGACTGGCATCCCGCCTACCAGTCCTGCCAACGCTTCTTCGTCGACCATGCACAGCACGAGCAAGCGACA